CATAATGTAGTTATTCCTATAAACCTTATTTCGCATATAACTAACATTTAACACATTATATATACAATATTTTCACTTTGCACTCTTGCTACATTCTTTCCATTTCATCATTATTTGGTATTATTAGAATAACCCACTAAACCAACAACCGAAAAAACACAGATCCCGGCCCCGCGCTTGCGCGGGGTTATGCAGCTAGTAAAAGAAATGATGAGGAATAGAAAGAAAAAACTATTCCTTATGAATGGTAAATTTTTTGAGGAATATTAAGGAATGTATTGTTCATCTTCGTTCTTTTGGTCACCATTCATAACCAAAGATATAGAAAGCATATACTTTTGTTGGGTACACTGTATAGAATGAAGAACAAGTGTATACATTGCTCCAAGAGAATGTTGGTTTCTTATGGATATAAAATACATAAATCTGCTTTGTGATTGGTGCAACTGAAACCAATCATCTACTCTAACGCAATTAAATCTTCTTTAATACGATTTAGTGGAGAACAACAAATCTTCTAGAAGAATCTAAAGGGAAGAAGCGGAACGGACCCTGTTGGCACGTGACGTGAGTATAGTTAGGATGTAACCAAAAAGGCGTCAACGTAATTTCCTCCCGTCTATAAAACAACCCCACTACTCTCTCTCCCCCTTCACCTTTTCGCTTTTCCGTACACTTGGCCCCCTCTTTCTCTCTCGATCAAAAACCCTAGATAGGACCCGCACATTGCTCCTCGGGGACCAAATCGGAGCTCCGAACTTCGCTCTCACTCTAATTTCAAGTGACGATTCCTCTTCATTCTTCGAACTCTATCCACTTTCGTTTGTTTTCATGAGTGACGATTTTGTTTCCTAAAAATGTCATCTACAGTGACACTTTCCTCTGAAAATGCGAAATGTGTTGTAGATTCTTCAGCTTCTTAGCTCGTTTGTGGCTAATTGTGTGTTATTGGAGGTTATGTATGTGTGTGTAGTGTAGTTCATGAGTTAGGTCAACGGAGATTTTGATTGTGATTTTGACATACAGTCTTATGTGGTTATCTTTTTTCTTTTTAGGATGTTTTGTGATTTAGAGAGATTTTCTAACAGTTCAATTTTAATGAATAAAGGCGTTTGCTTTTCTTTTTTTTTAACTGTGAAGGTTAACTACTAGACCATGGAACCTGCACAAGTACCTGCTCATGTTGTAAGTCTCTCATTCATGGAAGGGGTTTCTTCTCCTCTCATAAACTTTATTGTGATTTGTTGCGTTTTTGTATGATTTAGATTTGTTTTTTTGTTTTTCTTTGTTGGTGAATGTAGGTTGGGAGAGCTTTTGTGATGAAATACTACGAGATTCTGCATAATGCTCCTCAAGATCTGCACCGCTTCTATCTTGAGATGAGTAATGTTGGGCGTCTGGGACAGGACGGTGTCATGCGTGACTTTTATACCTTGGATGTAAGTTTTTTTTTTTAATACTCTAGCTGCTGGTGGGTGTGGTTGTGGTTGAAATGAGTCTATGATGTTACCATTTAATTGAGTAAATAACAACATGTCATTTAGATGGAGAGTCAAATTTGTAAATTTTTAAGAAAACTTGCTAAAAATTCTCTCTTTTATGCCCTTATGTTGAGCCAGGGTATACGTGAGGAGCTTGACACAATGTCTTTTGGAGATTTCAAATCGGCTGAGATCACAAGTTACCACACCCAAGAGTCTCACAACGGGGGTTTTATCGTTTTGGTCACTGGCTGGTTCACTCTTAAAGAAGGGACTAAAAGGAAATTTACACAGACTTTTTTCCTTGCTCCACAAGAAAATGGGTACTTTGTTCTGAATGACATCCTGGGATTTGACGATGAACCCGAGGCCCTTGTTGAGGATGGCTCTGAAACACCCTGTCCTATTACTGGTACGTAAAACTTGTACTCATTCCCCATCACTTTTCTAACCTCCTCTAACGCATATTATATTCTTATCCTATTTCAAATTCAGCTCCTACAGGAGGCATTCAGGGTTCTGAGCAAGCTGCATGTGTTTCGGTTGATTCTGTTTGTCAGGAAGTGTCTAAGCCCTTGAATAACGACAATGCTTCAGTTGCTACATCTAAGCCCTTGGATAACGACAATGCTTCAGTTGCTAAGGAGAGTATTCTAGTACCTGATTCCGTCAATGAAGAAGTTCCGAGTACTGAGATAACTAACAAAAAAGTTGCAGGTGATTCCAAGAAAATTTCTGACCCAGATAATGGACATGAAAATGTTTCCAAGAAATCTTACGCCTCTGTGGTAAGTATAATTCGAGAGGATCAACACTCGACCTTATATCATCTTGTTATAGTCGTGATCATATCTCTTCCGGAGTTTTCTGTTGATAGTCAATGACTTTCATATACTTGAAGGTTGCAAAGGATAAATCTGGAGTATTAGCTGCCTCTTCACTGTCTCCGAAGCAGATACCCAAAAACCTGGAACATCAAGTGACTTCAGATGTTTCTACAGAGCAGAAAGTCAAAAATGAAGGCCATCAAGTGTCTACAGATCTTTCTCCAGTGGAAAAATCTGAAGTAGTTTCTGAGACTGTTGACGAGACTGAATATGGGTTTGAAGGTAGGCTTTTCATAGAAAACCTGTTAATTTAATAAAAGATTATTGCATATGGCGGTTCGATTTCTCTTAATCCATTCATGACATGGAATTAACCTTCTTTTTGTTTTTTATTAGTAGTAGGTGAGGGTACATCTATCTATGTGAGACATCTTCCTGGAAATGCCAACATTGTCATGCTTGAGACTGAATTCAAGAAGTTTGGAGCTATTGGCAATGGTGGGATTCAAGTTGTAAACCAAAAGGTAAGATTGACCAATAAACTAACAATTCAGTATCGGCAGTCTCCCTTTGCCCCAGGGATGAAGAAACACTGATTTTGTTTATCCTTAAAGACTCTGATAGTTTACTGTATGACTGGTAGGGCTTTGGTTTTCCTTACGGTTTTGTCGAGTTTAAAGACGCAGATGCTGCCCAGAAAGCAATAGAGGTACACAGTCTGACAATATATAGAGCAATGAGAATCTTAACATATAAAATCGATATTAACATCTTCATGGTACAGGCTTCACCTCTGATGATCGGTGGACAGAAAGCTTTCATAGAGGAAAAGCGATCTACAGCCAGAGGTGAGTAATAAAAACTGTTAATGATGTGTTGAAGAGGAGGATGATTGTTTTGTTTGTCTTCTTTTGTGTTACAGGTAATAGGGGAAGTGGGTATGGCAATAGAAATGTGGGAGGGAGCGCTGGAAATGAATACGAAACTAGGAATGTGGGAGGAGACGGATACAGGAATGTGGGAGGAAGGGGAGGAGGACGTTATGGATATGGGAACAATTACAATAGGGGAAGAGGTGGTGGTGGAGGAGGAAGGTCTTTCAATCGCAGAGGCGGCTATGAGTACGTCGCCAGCAACAACTCATACTAAACCGGATTTGGCTTTTGTGGTGGGGGGTAACAGGATGATCTAATGATAATTGATTTTTGCAACGGAGACCAGACGTCTCTCGTTGGCCCTGATTGTTGTGTCACAGGTATTATAATATATTAGGAGACAAAAGATATAAAAAAAACAATGAATTGTCAGGAGGATAGTAGTGTATGCAAACTTTATATTTCGACCATCTATTGGGGATTATGTGTTCGGTTCTAAAATAGTACTAATGAATGAATGTTCTATAAAACTTTGTATGCTCTTGTTTCGTCCTATTTTGAACGTGAGGTGCAAACTATTTTGGAAAACAAAACACGAGAGAAAATAACTATTGCTCCAAAGCAAGAAGTCTCAGCTGCGTTCAAATCAAGAAGAGAAACAGCATCAAAACACTGTCTTGTTTACCTAAAAGTAGTTGCAACGTCCTTCAAAACACTTATCATGTACTAACAAACACTCTTGGGATGTGGTCTTTATTTGATGTCAAAAAAAAGCTGTAGTTCAACCGTGTTTCCATGACATTGTCGAAGAATGATGATGCGTACTAGCTCAACGCATCCTTGAGAAAAATGGAACAAAAAGAATATAGCATCAATTGAAATCCTTGTCTATTAACTTTTGCAATCTATTAGCACTATGGTTCAAGTGCATGGAATGTTAATCTATTTGCTTTTGCAATCTATCATAGCACTATGGTTCCAGTGCATGAAATGTTAATAAATTCAGCGTCTAGTTCTCACTATTTCCTCGTACAGACAACACATACTTAATGCATTAATCAGTATAGTGAGATGAGATGTGAGATCAGAGAACATACACATGATATCAGAAAGCAGTATCAAATTTTGTTTCTTCCATATATATTTTTTCATCTATCAGAGAGTAAGGCATCATCTGAGAAGTTTGCAGAGACCTAAATTACATAAGACAACAACTAGGAAACAAAACAAATTCGATATTACCAATGATATCCATCAAATGACAGGGCCCTTCTTGACCAATGAATATTTCTCTTCCAGTAAAGTGAAACATTCAAACTAAAACGCAGAGTCACTGAAGTCCCTCCAATGTTTCCAATTAGACCTGGCACAAACCATTGTCCTGTTAACTAAATAAACTCTTATAATTTGTGCAGCGTAGACGAAAAACAAAAACTATGATTTGGTAAAGCCTTACAAGGTGACTGTTGATGTATAAATTCATCTGGTGGTTGGAAGGAACACTCGAATCAGCTCTTTATTAGTCACCCTTTTCCTACAAGTAGGGCATTTCGCTTGACGAGATATCGCCTGCTTTATACATCCCTTGCAGAAGATGTGACCACATTTGGTCGACGTCTCCTCAGTAAACGGGGACATACAAATCGGACAAGAAAACTTCGGCTCCTCCGGTGGAGGTGGTGGAGGCTTTGGGCTAGACTCTCTCTGCACAGTCAAAAACACAAAGAGTTGATAAAAAAAACCTCAGACTAAATAAAATAGCTTAATAAATAGTTTCAGAAATTCATCAGTGTCTCTTACCACATCTACAGGGACATGTTCACAGTCGATGACAGGTTGATTAGGAGGAATCCTTCTCCGTTTGTTGCTTATGTTTGCAGGCAATCTCGTTAAACCACCTGCACATACCCATCCCAAGTAAGAAACAAACACAAAGAGTAGTATATAAATCTCTTAAAAAGTCAATAGATAAAAACTCACCAGACTCAACATCAACCATCAAAGGCCTCCTCCTACGTCCACCTGATGATTTGCTCTTAGCCTGTCATCAAAACCAAACAAAAAATCAATAAACCATCACATGACTGCAAAAAAAAAAAAAAAAAAAAAAAAGAGAAACTTTAAGGGATCATACTTCAGCAAAAGCACTAGCGGATGATTCAATAATATCATCTTCAATAGCATCAACATCAATCATGGTGGGAACAGGCTGAGAAGGAACAGACAAACCACCACCACTAGGCGGCGGCGCCACCGTAGGAGATTCTCTCACGGAAGCTGCAGAGGAGGTCGTCCCTTCGTGATCTCTTGGTATCTCGTTTAGATCAATCACAGCTTTCCTTCTTCGAATTCCTCGGCTTGTTCTCGACTCTTGTGTTGTGCTCATCTTATCAACACGGAGATTGCAACCTTTCTAACCTGCAAAACCGATCTAATTTACTTTTTCTGATTGTAAAAAAGATGGGATTGAAAGTAAGTGAAGGACCTCTTCGATCAATTCGATTCGAGGTTTGAGAGTCTCACCGTGATCCCAATTTCAATCGAGGATAATCGCCGGAGAGGATTGGGAACGAAATCTGTTTTGTGAATCTAGGGTTTTTTGAAAGTTTTGCACGATCCTTTTTCGAGATAGAGAGATGGAGAGACGAAGGAGGAAGGAGAGAAACGGAAAGAGATTATAATTTGAGTTTATAACGCGGTCGTATTATTGAAATAAGGTCGTTACACGTGTCGAAGACGAAGTTTTGGTCTTGTGGGTACGAAACGGCAGAGCTTTCTTTTTACCTCGTTTAGAATTTGCCTTTTTTCGCATCTGCACTTCGTGGTGTTTTCATCGTAGTTACGGTGCTGCTTCCACGAAGGAGCGAGTGTGAAATAGCCCATTGGGCTTAATGTTATATCATTGACTATTTTTGACTTTATTCAGCAGCCCATACAAGAAGTTGATTAACATAGATTCCGATTTAGTTTCATTACTAAACCAGATTAACAAAGATGACGAACGATCAACTATGTTTGAAGTGTTTTTCCCACAACAACCAAATATACATAGAGTAGAACATACAAAAATAATGTATTGTATTTATATTACTGAATACTCTTGAGCCAAACCATAACTAGAAGCAAACAACAAACAAGGTTTCATGAAAATAAAGGAACGATATTATCTTCAGTAGCTTCACTTTCGGCCCCATCTAGGAAAGCAGCAAACCTACATACACATCACAATTTACAATAATGAAACGTCAAGTTAAATAGAATAAGCTAAAATGTGTACGGATGATGATGTGCATGTGCGGATTTTATTTTATTTTGCTGAAAACGTATATGAATCTATGTTTTTATATATCTCATACTCATAAAAAATGTGAAACATTACATATCCTAGGACCACAGTAGAAGTTTAATAATATAAGTAAACAAGAATGTTTTTCGTGTTGACAATAAGAAGGAGAAAACGAATGTTCTTCTCATTCTCCATTAACAAAAGACAACTACACACTGGACTGTCTGGAGTCTTGAATGTTGAACTATGCTATTTGAGATAGGAGTAATAAATTAAAGCCAATTGTCTTCCAGGGAAATATAAAATATAAAAGCAGAAAGATGAATTATGACATTAAAAACAAAAGAGAGTTTATGATCTATACTTTTGATGCATGGTTCTAAGTAAGTTTTTATATTATTTCCAAATAGTTTATTATGACAATAAGAAAACAAATACATACCTTGCGCTTGGGGCTAGAAGGTGGCGGCGGTTGATGATGTTGGTCATCGTTGATGGGTTTAGCCGGAGTGCTATGATGATCAGTTACATCGCAAGACCTCACAGTCTCACTTTGTTTCTTCTTTTCCTTCACTTTATCAAAGATGAATGTGTAGTTCTCATTCTCCGAAGCTGATCCAGGAAACGGCGGTATAGAAGTGGCGACCTTGAAACAAAAAAAAAATTGTGAATCGTGACACATTATGTTAAAGAAACATAGTTAAAATTCTAGAGATTAGGGAGTGGCTGATTTGTGGTCAAGAGTTGGAAGAGTTAGAGAGGAAACATGTTGGATTAATCAGTAAAAGAGTAGTAGTACGTACCCTTTCACTGCCCCCACCTCTAAGATTGTTTATGGGCTTAGGTTTCACCGTTGTAGGATCATATGGTTGGCGTCTATTAGTTTCCGATGGATTTCTACCTCCACCACCATATGATTGATGGTTATACGTTTCTGCTGTTGGTTGAGGAGCTCTGACTCGGTTGTTTATTACATTGTGTGCAGGAGACGGTCTGAATTCAGTTTCTTCCCTGAATCTTTCATGTCTCGGTCTTACATTGTGGTTTGGTGCTTGGCCATGTCCTTGATTTCGAGTTTGTGCTGCGTTTGGATTCATATTTGGATACTCGTTGGGATTAGACTTGTTTATATATTTCCTAGAGGACCTACTTGCTTTATCGAACACTATTGTGAATGGAACATCTTCCGACCATTCTCCGAATTTTGGCACGCTTTGACGATTCTGTTAGCCACAAAGGGAAAAAAAAGCAAAGGTCTTAGAAAGACTAGCTAGCATTCAAGTTGCAAGCAAGAGACATATGCCTATTCTTAGACGGTTCGAATGAAATGATCACATTATTAATTTTATGTATAGACCGCTCACTACATGACATCATGTTCTTTTACTAATCAGCTTTGAAATGAAGTCCATATAAGTATAAAGAATTGGTGCCTAGTTATTAGATCTATTTACTATCTTTTGGACAAGAAACATAGATTAATCTTTATGGATGTAAGTCATAATCCCATTAGACATTAATAACAGGAAAACAAATTAAATAAGAACCTTGATGTTCATACACAAACAAAATTTCATCATAATTAAGCAGAACAATCTCGTAGTCATGCATGTAGATTTCAAAGAACTTCTTGTAAACATGTGATAGTTTGCAGGTTTAGAAGAAGAAAAAAACCTCTATAATTAATAACCTAAATATTGGATAGTTTATTTTTCAAAAAAAAAAACATGTTTGATGATATTTAAGTATCCATTCAAAGAAATTAAACACACACAAAAAAAAGACTTACTGCTGCCATGTTGTTGGTTCCTTGAAGCTAGAAATGGAGAAATGCTTCAATGGGTCTGAACACAAAGAGAGATTAGTTTGAGAAATAGAAGCTGGTGAGATATATAGGAGACGACGTGTAAACACGAAGGCGTTGACTAGTCTTTCTTGTGATTGCGTAAAACGACGACGACTCTTTCTACGCTGACTTATCTTTTTTGTATTTTAATGATTTAGTTGAATATTTTCAAACATTCGACACGCTTTCAAAATTTTATGCGTGTTTTACATATAAAAATTATGCTGTCAAACAAAGTTACAAAACTAACAAAATGAAGTAAACACCAAACTGGTTTCAGGGTAATTTCTCTCATGTAACAATTGCATAACAGATACGAATATATGAATATATTGTAAGACCCGTCTTCCACAATAATCCAGAGCAGTTTATCCTTTAACAACCTAACATAGTCCAAAAAAAAGACCTAATGATGTTAAGAGTTTTTGAGGCTCCTAAAGCAAATGTTGTAGTATAGATGATTGTCGAACCAGTTCTGAGGGATTTAAAAGCACCGAGAATGCAAGTACTAACTTAATCTAAGTGCAATCGAATGTTTGGTTGGTTTTGAAGTTAACTAAAACTAGAATGCAAATAACAAAAATGATACTTTTAAACTATTGGAAAGGA